ACATCCCGTAATTTTATTTTCAAAAAATTTTTAATTTGTATTAAATCAAAAATCTTATTTTTGGAATCTCAGACTCTACTTGAGGACAGAGTGCACATTAAGGCTCACAATTAGCAATTGGGCCTAAGTCCATAACATCATTATCGGGTCTTGTCAACTCGGGAACCTTCTAAAATTTTCTTATACAGATTTTAAAGTTAAATCTAGAATTATTTTGAATAAATATTTAAATTTCCTTTTTGTTATTTTGTTGACCAAATAATAATTTATTTGGATGAGTAAGTCTAGAAGTGTTTCTAAAAAACTCATGAAGGACCCATCAAATAACCATTCTAAATCAGCTTAAACCGGATGGAAATCATCCCAAATTAGGTAGAAATAAAAAAAAAATCTAGATAATTGATTACTCGAACTGTAAGTAGGTTCTAATTATGCAATTAGTTTTGCAGACTGATGCACTGGTTACTCGAACTATAATTTGATGCAAAATTTTGTATATGACTTCAAAGCCGAAAATTCACAGAAATTTCATTATTTGAGTGCTAAATAATCCTAGGATAGATCTTATAATTAGAAATAGAGATAACATAAGATATAACGATTTAGAAGGACTTAACTCGTTATAAAATGAAATAAACATCCTTTTGAAAGTAGACGGCAATGATTGTTAGTATGAAATTTAATTTTAAAGGAAGTTTTAGCTTTCTTATGGATGCTCAAATTCACTTAGCCATATATGCAAGTTAAGAATGTAGTACCAAGTAGTTAGTTAACTATTAACTTTAGATATACTAATGAAAAGTTAGAAATAGGAATTATTGTTGATGAGATGAGAATTGCCCGATGGATGGGCTCTGAGACTATTTGTGGAATTATTGTTTATAATAGGTGATAACATCCAATTTTCAGGAGAGACTTTGTCGGATTTCCAACAGAACCTCTGTAAGTTGAGGATAATAGGAAAATAATATTAATGAAGGTTTATTCTTGATTTAAATATTTGTCTAGATTTCCAAGACTCATCAGCTGCTACAGGAAACCAAAATTGGATTTCGAGTCATTATTGTTCCATAGTACTGTGAGTAGTATTAAGTATTATTCATAGCTAAAACATGCATTCTACTTGTATTTTCATAATTGATCTTTTTATCCCAATGATATTAAATATATGTAATTATTTTACTTGTGAATAATATGTCTGTTATTTAAGCAAAGTGCTATATTATATTGGATATTACTTGATGCAAATAATGATGATCTTTATTAGTGATTTACTTGGTTGATTGGGTTAAATGTGAAATCAAACTTGCATTCATTATTATGAAAATATTTTCATACTTAGATAGATACTTCTTGCGATTCCTTGCCAACTTGAGATTTAGTTGTTAATGTTTGGGGATGCATCTATTGTGCCTTATTAAGATTTTGCTTGACTTAACAATAGTTGTGTGATTGAATGATGTATGTTGTGAATATGAGATGTTGGAAACTAATTTATGGAAATTACTTCCTGTGTTTGAAAATAAAGAAAAGGGAAAGAAAGAAATGTGAAAACATGATGGAAGACCATGTGAACGACGATATCTTGGCCATATAGGGGATCGGCTCCTCGGCTCATATTTGGGGATAAGCTCCTCGGTTCGTAATGGAGGATGGACTCCTCGTGCCTCGGTAGAGGGATGGACTTGATAAGTTTTATTTTTATAGTTAAGTTTATTAAATTTTCCTTAGAATTTCTTTTAATTTTTATTTGTGTTATTTTATTTTAGTTAGAATTATTTATGCTTTTGAATAAAGCTTCCTTAAATCATATTTCTCTTTATTTTGAGGAATTTTGTAGGATATTTATAGAAAAAAAAGCCAAAAGTGCAAAAGATGACTAAAAGCAAAAATTTAGGCATGACATTCAGCAAGAAGCATGCCTAGGCCATGCTACCCAGCACCCCCGTGCTACTCTGGAGAGTTCAAATTGGGCCGAGTTTCTAGATTAAGCATGTGTTGCCTGCATGAAGATATTGTGTGACGTTCCTATTTAGACGTTAGAGGAGTCCTAATTGGGAAGAAATATAAAGCTTAAACAGTTTTTTTATCTCCAAAAGATTTTTTCTCAATAAAGATTCACTTTCCTAAACGAATCCGAAGATATTCCGGAAAGTCTATATAAAGTGAGAGACTAGCTAGTTTATCTTTTATCTTTTGATCTTTTGTTCTATTGTTCTGTATTCTACATAGTTTCTCTCTTTAAGACTTCAAGTATTCAAGTTGGTGCCAAGATTCAAGGAAGCCTAATTTTTATTTTTAAAATCTCTTCTTGTTTACTTTTCATTATGGGATTATTTACAAGTTTAGTTGAGTTAAATTTATTTACTATGTCAAACTAAATCTTTTTACTAGGAATATAATGTAGCTTAAATTCAACTCAAGTTTATAATATTAGATTTAATTTCCTTTATTCAAGTAAAATTCATTATTAATATTAGTGCTTCCAAATAGAGTTTCTCCCTAGATTGATTTATTTCATTAATCATTATTGAGAGAAGGACTTTTGATATAAACAAGGTAATAAATTTCATGGGAATTACAACTTGATGCAAGAGTTAGATAGTTTGACTTGTGGGAGGTTTTCATAAAATTAAAAGCCCTTAATTTGTGGATTCCTGAATAATCATAGAACTTATGATTTAATCAATGTTTGGTTGCACCAGAGAGAAATAGGTAATTGAATTAGGCTAAAATAGCTAATAAAACATCGAGAGAGCTTATCAGTGATTTTAGAGTTATTTCTCCTTCTTGAATAATCAAAATTGATTATCAAACTAATAGGATAAATCGAATAAAATTAAGTGAAGTCTAAATTCCTAGTGACCTTTAAACCTTGATTTCTTTTCAGCAATTGCTTGATTTCTTATACATTTCTCTATTTTATTTTATTACAATCATTTTTCTTATTGTCGATAATAGTACGTTAACATAATTTTGGTACCTGGTATACAATTCTCATGGGATGATACTCTACTCACTCTTTATTACTTGTTACGATTTTGTAAACTTGCGAATTTTTCCTGTTAGGGCTCCTCTATCATTAAATACGAATGACCAATTTGAGAATAGAAAAGTTATAATGCATATTCTGCCATGGTGAAATGAAAAATCTCATGAGGTTTGAAAGCTCAATTATCTGAATGTTCTCTGAAAAGTATGATTTTGTGTTTGTTTATACTAGCTTGTTCATATTCGTTTTAATTTAACTTGTATTGCATCATTTAAGGACATTGTGTGACTAAGGTGTATGACACTTTTGAAGTTGAATGAAATCATTTGTTTGATTGTGTAAGGTATTTATAATGCTTACTACTATTCAATGAGCTCAAGCACTCACCCGTCTCACTTATTTTTTTATTATTTTTTTTTAGGTCATTAGTGCATTTATCTATTTGCTTTCGTCCCCTCTGGAGCAGTCTTACCCTTTCATCTTAGAAGGATTCCTATGTATATAAGTAATAGTCAGATTCGACAATTATTGTAAACTTTTGACTTGTCGTGTTAATTAAAGATTTAAATTTATGATTTTGTATCACCCGTGTTGTTTAGTTAAATTATGTATGAAATTAAAACTTTAAGTGTTTTGAATCAAGTGTTAGACCTCATATGATATTGGGCCTGGAAGGGATCATGGACAAAAAAAGACTTGCTACGGCCTATGGATGCTTATTGCTTTCCTGAGCTCTAGTGCTGGTTCGACCTAAGGAGATGAGTTGTGACAATATACGACCTGACAATAGCTCAGGTTCGAATCCCTATTCCCCTAATACTCAATATATATATATTTACTAATAATGAAAAGGGTACTAGTGTCTATTATAAAGCTATAGTTACCGAATTCATTGCTGATAATAATTCCACTAACTACATCCACTTTGATTTTTAAACCTATTTATAATTAATTAGTCTTTTTATGATGTGCGTTGTCTTATTATTTATACTCGCTTTTATTTTTTAATATTAAATATTGATATTAATTTTAATTTTATATTATTTTAATTTTTATAATGTTAAAACAAAATTTCATATGAGATTAAATGAATATAATAGTTAATTAATAAAATAGCATAGTATATATACATACACACACTCTAACTCAATTTATATTGTCATTTATCTAAAATTCATTATAACTATATATATATTTCTACAATACCACATAATAAATACGTTTCAATACATATATAAAATAAGTATTATATATATTTTAAAATTGAAAATTTTAACTGTTCATTTTATTTAAAAATGAATTTTAAAAAGAAAAATTTTAAAAATTTTGAAAGAGTTTAATTATTATATTGTATTTTTATTTTTAAGAAAATATATCCATAACATAATAATACGTTTCATACATATAATAAGTATTGATATATATTTTAAAATTGAAAATTTTAACTGTTTCATTTATTTAAAAATGAATTTAAAAAGAGGAAATTTAAAATTTTGAAAGAGTTATTATATGGGGATAATTGTTATTTTTATTTTTTAAGAAAATATATCCAATCAGATTATCAAAATAAAAGAAAAAAAGAATATTAATAGAAAAATAATATTAAAAATAAAATTTTAATTAATAAAAAAATTAAATATATTAAAAAAATATTTATATTTAAAAAATAAAATTATAAAAATTTTTCAAATGTTTTCCCATTATTATATATAATTTTTTTGAAAATAAATTAGAAAATTAAAAAATAAATATAAAAAAGATATAGCTTAAAATTTTGAAATGCTTAATTATTTATAAAAAAATTTAATAAATTATATTCAATATATTAGTGAAATATAATTTTCTAATTAATTATGATTTTTTTTGAGAAATCTAATTAATCATGATTAATAGTATGTTGTTAGGATATTCAAATTTTTCATTAATAGTAAGATACACAGATGGTGCGTACCCTCGTTAACATATCCCTCTTACTTTAATTCCTAATGGTGAATGTTTCGTATTTTGACCCATTCGTCGTTGGTCCCATCATGATGACTTAGACTTCATTTCCAATTTTCATTCGCTCCTTCAATCGGCAGCAGCTGGTAGAGGGTCGGCGTCTCTTTCTCTAATACGAAACCCTAGCCCTAACCTTAAAAAAATCTCCAAATTCGAACCCTAATTCTCTTCAATTCCCTTCTAATCTGTTCAATCAACCTTCAAAATTGACCATACGGATCTCCACTGTCTATCCGAACCTTTTCGATTTCAATTATATCATTTTTTTTTTTCGAGAAATGGATAGCCCAATCTCACTATAATGATCAACGCTAAATTCCTTACGGTTTTACTTTTAGGGCACCGATTGTATGGGTTTGAGCGATGCCTGAGCTTCGCAGAGGTGTTCGCAGAGGCCGCGCAGTGTTAGCGCCGCAAAACGAGCAAAAGGACCCTCCTCCTAGGGTGCAAAATTACGTAAAAACCCGAGCTGCTGTAGCTAGAGAAACAAAGAGGCCGAGGACAAGATTAGAAACCAAAAGGTTGAAAGAGAAACAAGAGGAGGATAATAAGGTGATTGTGATATCGGAGAGAGGAGAGAGTGATTTTTCGAATTTGGAGAGGAAGAAGAAGGGCAGGAAGAACAATTCGCCTGTTGTTGTTGCTGCTGCTGCTGAACAAGACAGGAAAGACAAGGAAGCTGCTATAATGGGTGACGATAGTGGTGGTTTGAGCGCTAATAAGGCTGGGCAGGAAGAGGAGGGCAATACTTCACCTTTTCCTGAAAAGGTATGCATTTTGTTGGGTATTCTTAGCTTCATTTTCCATTCTTCTTCTTTTTTTTTTTTTTTTTTTTTTTTTTTTTTTTTTTTTTTTTTTTTTTTTTTTTTTTCCTTTACTCAATGTTTTGGGTTCTAGTTTCGATATAAGGACCTACCTTTTTTTTTTTTTTTTTTTTTTTTTTTTTTTTTTTTTTTTCCTTTCTCAATTGTTTTGGGTCTAGTTTCGATATAAGGACGCTACCTTTTGGTGGACATTACATGGTGTTTTCGGTCAATTTGGTTTTCTTCTGGTTTTGTTTATATGGTGGCTTTTCTTTAAGTTGATGTTATATTCTTTTGCTGCTGTAGTGTCTCTTCGATTGGGTTGAAGTTCTCCAGCGTAAATGATGCTTTCATCTTTAGCCTAAAATGTTTTACTTTGGTGCTTTTATTTAGTGAACCAATTGAAAATTATGGTTCTTGAGTTATTCGGGTAGCCTTTTCTTATTTCTAATTTGTTTTGGTTCACCACTGGGTATTTAGTGCTTGAAAAACTAGGATTCAATATAATGGCCTGATAATTGTTAAGTGCATCTCCTTTCCTTGAGCATTGATCAATGCATGGGATCCTTACAAGCTCATGAAGACTAAGTTAGTGACTTTGCTTCCCAAAAGCAACCCTTATTTATATTTGATTGTTTAGGAACTTTTATTTGTTGTTTTTATGCTCATTTTTTCAGCTTTAGGGTATGTGAAAATTGACTTTGGAAATATTTTAAGCTTCAGTGTTGGATTTGACTGTATACTGAATCTGAAATAATTATGTTTACTGCGCATAACCGTTTTTTGGAAGAATTAAACTGAAATATAATGCTTCTGCTCTTGATTCTTTTAATTGTGAGTTACTCTAATGTTGTGTGAGTGTGTAGAATATTACATAGATTCAGTTTCTATCTTAACTTTTTTTTTTTTCTTTTTTAATATTTGAATTTGATTTAGATTAACATGTACTGTTGCTAATATTGCTTGCTTTACTCTCTGTATGGTAATTATAGAAGGTTTGTTATTTTCTTTTCAAAGGTTCAAGTTGGAGGCTCTCCTTTATATAAGATAGAAAGGAAGTTGGGTAAGGGTGGGTTTGGTCAGGTGTTTGTTGGTCGTCGTGTTAATGGCGGAAATGATCGTACGATGGGTCCTGGGGCCATAGAGGTAAAGTTGGTTTATCTGCTGTTTTGCCTGCTCTTATACATAAGCTTAATCATCCTATTAACCTTTTCTTCTAAACTTTTTACCTTAAGGTGGCTCTGAAATTTGAGCATAGAAATAGTAAAGGTTGTAACTATGGCCCCCCATATGAGTGGCAAGTATATAAGTAAGTCCTTTCTTTGTCATTCTTCTTCTTATTCTTCTTTTTCTCAGTCTGTCTCTCTCTCTCTCTTTATATATCTGTTCTTAGAATTTTTATTGATGCTTTAGTGATTCTATCTTGTATATTTGTTCTACAGCACTCTTGGTGGCAGCCATGGAGTGCCCAGAGTGCACTATAAAGGAAGACAAGGAGATTATTATATAATGGTATGGTCCACAAGCTCTTTTCTTTTCACCTCTCTATTTAACTTGCTGGTTTAATGCTTACTCAAACATTTTCAGGTTATGGACATGCTTGGGCCGAGTCTTTGGGATGTATGGAATACTTCTGGGCAGGCGTGAGTATCTCATGCAGTGGATATCTTCTCTTGAATTTTTCTTTTTGTGCATGTTTGGAGTTTATTTGTTCATTTTTTTTTTTTTGTTTTCTGATGGGATGGGTCGACCAATGTTCTGAAAGCTACTTTTTTACTTCCTATGTTCACCAAATAATAATAGAGTCGTTGTCTTGTCTTACGTGCTCAGTGCTATTATTTAACTTTATTAGGTCTTTTGCTGAATTTTCTTTCTTATATCTATATGTATGTGTGTTTCTTGTTCTTTTTGTATGTAGGATGTCATCAGAAATGGTGGCTTGTATTGCTGTTGAATCCTTATCAATACTTGAGAAGATGCATTCCAGAGGGTATGTCTAGCCACATTTTTTCAGATTATACTTGGTTTTCTTAAAATTGTAGGGTCAGAAGGCTATTCATAGTTTTGCGAGTCTTCTTTTAAGTTTAGTTGTTGGTTGTTTCAAATGCGCGCTTGTTTGATTTTAGCTATGTCCATGGAGATGTAAAGCCGGAGAACTTTTTACTTGGTCAGCCAGGTACAGCGCAAGAGAAGAAGTTATTTCTTGTTGACCTTGGTTTAGGTGAGTAATTTCTTAATGCTTTTTAAGTATTTATTCAGCAATTTTATGTTCTCAGTTTATGACTCTAATCAATATGTTAAATGACAGCAACAAAGTGGAGAGATAGTGGCAGTGGGCAGCATGTTGAATATGATCAGCGTCCTGATATGTTTAGGTAAGAGTTATTTTCCTAGTTTCTACTTGGGGTCTAGTGATCGATCTATCTCTGGATGATTTTTTTATGGTTTCTGCTCTGTAGGGGAACTGTTCGATACGCTAGTGTGCATGCACACTTGGGAAGAACCGCTAGTAGGAGGGATGATCTCGAATCTCTGGCATATACACTCATTTTTCTGCATCGAGGCAGATTGCCATGGCAAGGGTATCAGGTATATCAATAGTACTCAATAATCACATGCTCTTGTATGTGCGTATATACAATTACGTATTTGTATGTATGCACACAAGATTGGTAATTTATCATCTTTGAGATCTTTGCAGAATGATATGCTCACAATTGTTGCCTTATGTTCTTTTTAAATAATCTTAGGGCGATAACAAGTCCTTCCTAGTTTGCAAAAAGAAGATGGCAACGTCTCCAGAAATGTTGTGTTGCTTCTGTCCTCCACCTCTTAAGCAATTTCTTGAGTTTGTTGTGAATATGAAATTTGATGAGGAGCCGAACTATTCCAAGCTAATATCTTTGTTTGAAGGCCTGATAGGACCAAATCCAGCGATAAGGCCTATAAACACGGAGGGCGCTCAGAAGGTAAATGTGGTGATAGTATCTGAATCTGCCAAAAAGGTTTTTCCTTTACCATTAGGAATCTAACATTACAACTGTACATCCCTCGTCAGATTATCTGTCAAGTTGGTCAGAAACGTGGTAGGTTGAATATCGAGGAAGAGGATGACGGACAACCTAAGAAGAAGGTCCGCTTGGGAGTTCCTGCTACACAATGGATTTCAGTTTACAATGCTAGGCTACCAATGAAGCAGAGGTGAGAATATGTCCATCATTCATGCTCTTTCCATTTTAGAAATGGCTGGCTCACTTGAAAGTGTGTAAGTTACACAAATTCTTGCATGAAACTACAACTTAAATTTTATAGTTTGAGTTTGATATTTTGATTAATTTGTTAGATCAATTTTTTATTCAGGTAATTACTTAGATTATAAAATTTCTTGTAAGTACCTCTTTACGACTGACCTTTTATGCAAGTGTTTTGAATAAATTGTCTTAATATAGGTTAAATTTGTATTAATATTTGACTGATTTGAAAGCATACGGGCATCAAATTTTAATGGTTGGATTATAAGAACAAAAAAAATGATTTGAAAGGGCAGAACGGGGCATCAAATTTTAATGGTTGGATTGATAAGAACAAAAAAAAAAAAAAAAATATATATTATTATATATATATATATATAAATATAAATATACACACCCAACAAGAAGAAATTGTTTCAGAATTTATAGTGGTAAACATGAACATAGTCTCCTTATTTTTCTCATATACTGACTATCTGGTATTTTAACTTTTTAATATACACACACACAAGAATGAAATTTGTTCAGAATTTATAGTGGTAAATGAACATGTTCCCTTATTTTTCTCATATACTGCTATCTGTTATTTTAATTTTTATTTTAATCTTCCTGTTATTTTGATGTAGTGCATTTAGAGGGATGTCCTTAGCTGATGTTCAGTGGAGTAGGAGAGGCTTTTTTCTCTATTAGTTATTCTTGTTTTGGTTTTTCCTTTACTATATATTCTTCTTCCCAAAGGAAATTCTCTTATATTACAAGAAACTTCTAGTTCAATTTCTTTGAAGGCCTTTAAATATGTCCAAGAAGAACACTACACAAACACATACTTGCTGAATGTTGTTTATATGTGCACCTCAACTAAAATTGTTAGGAGCATGAGCAGCTGGTCTAGAAGTTAATTTGCTAATTTCATTTCCATGTTATACTCTTGAATCTCTTGATCTGATAAACCAATTTGCTGACTGTATTCATCTATTCAATTTAAATTCATATGAATTATACTTGGGGTTTATGTTACCCAATGAAGCAAAGCTCTTGTAAAACTGATGGATGTTTGGTGTTATTACTTTGTAAAAGAGGGAAAACTAAAATGGATTGGGGCCTACTGAACCTACAATCATCCCCCAGAAATCCCCTGGTTTCTGGGGCTTTGGACCTCCATTGTTTCACCAATTGATAACTTTTTAAATTATAGGGGAGAAATTGTTATGGTCGATTATGTTATCCTTACTACATTGGCACTTGATGACCTGCATTTATTTGCAACTAGGTACCATTATAATGTGGCTGATGGAAGGTTGGCTCAACATGTGGAGAGAGGAATTGCTGATGGTCTTCTAATAAGTAGTGTAGCATCATCGTCAAATCTTTGGGCACTAATTATGGATGCCGGAACTGGTTTTACACATCAAGTTTATGAAATGTCACCATTTTTCTTACACAAGGTGAATATCTATGCTGGACAAAATTTTTGGTTCTTTTCACAAGTAATTAATTGTAGAAACAATAAGCATATTTTATGTCAAAATAACAGGAATGGATTATGGAGCAATGGGAGAAGAACTATTACATTAGTTCTATTGCTGGTTCTAACAATGGAAGTTCCCTTGTGGTGATGTCCAAAGGTTTGCTTGCTTTACTTGATTTGTTTTAATTTATGGATTTAGTTCAGCATTTTATATGATTAATGTTCATTATGTCCTAGGATTTGCTTGTTCTGGTTATTTGGAAAAAGTATTTTTCTCCACTATGCTGGAACCAGTGGTTTTCTTGACTTGTAATATCTCTATTTGGATATTTCTAATGTGTGGTTTTGTATTTGTGATTTTAGAATTTTGTCAAGCAAAGTTGCATTTCTAGAGAAAACCTGCTTATAAAATTTATTTGTTCATAACTGAAATCCATAATAATATGTCAATTTATATAGGGACACAATACACGCAACAATCTTACAAGGTGAGTGACTCATTTCCCTTTAAATGGATAAACAAGAAGTGGAGAGAAGGATTTCATGTGACTTCAATGGCAACTGCTGGAAGCCGATGGGGTGTTGTCATGTCTCGCAATGCTGGCTTCAGTGATCAGGTTGACTTTCTTGTATATTCTGGCAATTGCTATTTTGTCATGGAGAAAATTTAATATTTTTATTGTTAATTTCATATTTTTATGGCTCTTCTTATTCGGGTCTAATTTTTAAAGTCTAAAGGTGGTGACCTGCCCCTTATTTATTATTGTGTATATTGTCTTTTCTGTGATCTCCACAATGTCTTGCAATTAGTTTTTGACGTGCTGATGCACTACTTTTATCCAATGGAGCCTAGACAAATTTTTACATCAATTGTGCGATGTCTTAAATCTTGCTGGCCTTCTTTTTGTCAGTGTTTCCTGCTTCCTTTTGTCATTGCTATTTCTTTATGAATGATGTTAAAGTAAATATGATATTTGGCTGTACGGAGCTTGAGCATATCATTATGAGTTTTACAAAGTTAAACTAAAAGTGTAGCCTGAAAGCATTATCTGCCTTACTCTTCAGATTGGTGTTCTGTTGAACTCATTATCTTATTAAAAAGTAACATCTGGGAAGTTGACTGCGATTAGTTCTACTGCACTATGAAAATATAATTAATATGCTAATAGATAGCGGGTATCCAAACCTCGCCATGTGTGAGTACAACCTTTTGGCCAGACTTATAAAGCAATTAGTTAACTGTGATTTGTTGTTCCTAGGTTTTGCCGTTCTTTTACCACATCTGTATATGCATATGCATGGCAGCACTCTGTGCTAACTTGCTTATGTTTTCCTCATAGTTTTATCTAAATTTGATTTTGAGTTTCTCTCATTGGCTTCAATAGGTTGTGGAGCTTGACTTTCTATATCCGAGTGAGGGAATTCACAGACGATGGGATAATGGCTTCCGAATTACATCAACAGCTGCAACACTTGATCAAGCTGCTCTTATCTTGAGTGTCCCCAGGCGGAAGCCCGGGGATGAAACTCAGGAAACTTTACGTACATCTCAGTTTCCAAGCACACATGTTAAGGTAACATCATGCAGTGTCTTCTCTGTAGAGTTCACTTGATATAATCTTCAAGTCTCTTAAAGTGCTAGAATTATTTGTACCTGTCCTGAAAAATTTTCCCCCTCTTTCTTTTGCTGATATGTAGATTTGAACATGGGTCTATGCCAAAGCCTAATATACTGAAGTGATTTTATTAACTAGGTAGTGATTGTTATTTATATTAAAGACAAAAAACGAGCTTTAGAATCCAGCTTTCTTTAAAAAAAAAAAAAAAAAAAAAAAATTTAAAAAAAAAAAAAAAAAAAAAAAAAAGGTACTTAGGCAAACATAGAATCCAGTTTTATTTTTTTCTTTTACAAAAAGTTGGTACTTATGAAATTATAAGAATCCGGCTTTGCTATGAAATTATTAAACTGTAGCTTCAACATTTATCAAATCAAATGATCCTTTTTCGACAAACCTGACCAGGTAATACCGGTTGATTTGAAATTTGCCAAAACTAAACCTAAATGATAGATAAAAAATGATTCCTCCACTGGATAAATGGAACTCCTTGAATTGTGTACAAAGTGCACTTCTATAATTTTCATGATTTTGACAAATTTCAGATTGGTAGTGATTATTTAAGACGCGTTCATGGTCATCATGTTTTCTCAGCTGTTGGATGAGAATCTTCTCATCTGATTGCTGATAGTGATAAGAGTATGTGCATGGTTCCCGGTAAAGGAATGGTACTCATTCTAGATTGTATTATGAGAACTATGAGTTTATTGCTGTTAGTTCTCAATATTTTACTGCCTCAATCCCACAACAATTCTCTATTTTACTTTAAGAGATTGTCCGATAAATATAAACACTGAGAACATAAAGCTTTCACCAAATAGTTTGTATTGTAGCTGTGGCAAAATTGATGAGCTGATGTCTCCGTCCCTAATGGCATGAGCAATTCATGATTGATATAAATAACATGCTTCATAATTTGTTTTGATATGCAATTTTTGACATTTGGGTTTGTTCACCTTCAGGAAAAATGGGCGAAGAATCTCTATCTTGCTTGTTTGTGCTATGGACGGACAGTCTCCTGATTCTGCTCATGTCGGTAATTTTGTGAAAGACAATGAAGGCTTTACTGGTCCACGTGCCCTCGTTGTTTCTCCTTTCTTATGTTAATTGTACAAAATGTAGTAGATTTAGATGCGGTGATGGTTAACTAAATTTCTGTATGATAAATATTTTTCACTGATGTAATTGTAGCTCATATGAAAAGAACATAATGATCTAGCACCTAAATATTGGGGAAAAAGAAGCATGTGATGTTTGCTTCCTATGTTTTTTTTTTTTTTTTTTTTTTTTTTTCCATTTGTGCTCTACAAAAAATTGGTGTTACACAGTAGCGCTAGATCATGAAAGAGGGGCACCATTTCAACATCTGCACTTGTTTATGGGTATTCTTTTTTAATTTTAAATTTTAAACTGTGTAATTGGAATATGTGTGCACTGCTATTTTGTAATAAGAATAGTTTAAACATTAAAGCGGGAAAGGGACTTGGGGTTTCAAATCTTGGGTCTCTTGCACTGCTATTTCAAGTACGCCTTACCCGAGTATTCTTTTTTATTTTTTTATTTTTTGTAGGATCAAGTTCTTTTTCTTGTTGGTATGTACTGAAAAAAGAATTTATTTTTAAAAGCAATAATGAAAAGCAATAATGAAAAGCAACGATTTTATCTCAGCACTATATTGTCAATAACGTAATTAACTTTATATATTAGAAGCAAATATCATTTGTTTTTTATTTTTATTTTTATTTTTTATTTTTGGGTTCTTTTGCATTTGAGCAAAATAAGGTTATTGTCAAAATTTTTCATCAGATTGTAAAGTTGCGATATTGATAAGATTTTTTATGTAAACAGGACTAGGCACAAATTGATTTTTTTTTTTTTTTTTTGACATTCAAATTGAAAAGTTATACCAAGAAGAAATATGAAATAAGGCTGGATTTACTCCATCAACTTGGCCGCAATATGCAATTTGCCGAAAATTAACTGTTTGTACTATTTACCTCTTGAGCTTGCACTAAAAATACAAAATGTTCAAAAACAAATTGTTTGATATAAATCAAATATGATTAAAAAGTAATTAAATATTTGATCTACATTAAATATAATTAAAATAAATAATCAAATAAAAAATAATAAATATTTTTCTAACCAAATATCTCAATATAATCAAATAACCAAATATCTCAATATAATCAAATCTTGTTCTCATTCTATAGTTTTTCTAAATCAAATACTGTAAAATTTTATAATTATTATTATATTTTAAATATTTTTTATTTTCTAATTTAAAATTTTTTAAAGTAATTTTTATTAGTTAAAAACTATAATTTTTTTTTTTAAAAAAAACTGGGCATTTTATTTTTTTGATGCAAGTTAAAAGGGATAAATTGTATAAAAAATTAATTTTTTGGCAAATTATATATTATGTCCAAGTTCAAGGGCAAATTGAACGTTATTTCATGAAATACTAGTGATTGTCTTTAATATTAAAATTATTGCTCATTTAGAATTGCTCTTCTGGGAAATTCCATATAGGTACAAAAGTTTTTTTTAAGAAAGATTATATTTTAATTTACTTTGTTAATTAAAAATTGATGTCACTAAGATCCAATTTGCTCCACTACTTTTTAGCTTTAAGAGTCACTCCATTGGGCGCTAAGAAACTCTTCTTATTCCCTTGTAGTTACGGGCATACTACGTAATTTATCAACCATTGTCTCCATGCTCGTCTCTGAGCCAAAAGCTTTAATACCACTTATCATATTTTTGTGAGCTAAATTTGTTGTTAGTATCAGAGCTAAAAGAATTAATAAAAAACTTGGAAAAAAAAAATGTGTTAAACTCTCACAAATTGAGGATTAGGAGAATTTAAAATTAGTCTCTTTTTGGAGTAAATTTGGAGTATATATATTGGAGTAAGAATAATTGCATTAGGATAAGATTATAAGAATTCTATATTATCTGTTAATTAGAGTTTCTTTAAGAGTCTAATATCCTTTAATATATTTATATATATTGTTCTTATATTGCCTTTAATAGTATTAATAATTGTTTCTTATATATATAGTATATATTATATTATTTTATATATTAGTATATATTAGTAATTATACAGGTAAGCCCCTTCGGTTTTATTTGGTCATTTATGTCCAAAAAAGGATGTTGTAAGATTATATATATATTATCAGTAGCCCCCTTGGTTTTTTGGTCATTTATGTCCAAAAAGGATGTTGTAATTATATATATACTTTGTACTTACTTATTTATTTATTTTTGTTATTATTATCAATTATTGTTGTCTTTTAATCATGGAGTTCTTTATCTGCCTTTGTCAGTTAAAAACGACTCTATTTGGGAGAAACGAGGTGATGATTCGTTTATCGAAGGGGAACTTCAAGAGTCATGCCTCGTTAAACGTGAGTGACTTTTTAGTGTCTCACCTCTCTCCATATATATGGCTAACTCCTTGCCTCATTTGCTTCACTTTCGCATTTCTGAACATCAGAGCATCTCTTTAAAAAGTTTCCTTGCTCTCTCTAGCTCTCTTCGCTTTGGTAAGTTTTATAGCTTTTGTTTTGTTTTTTTGTTTGCTTTTGTCGGAATCATGGGTTTGGCTAGTGAGAAGGATGTCCAGGTTTTATTTGATCAATCTGATGATGAAGATAATGAAGTTGTTGAGTCTGGAACTAGTGGGGTGAAATCTTATAAAGCAAATGTTAGGATCGCTGATGTTCCATCGGACATTGATGAGGGTGAACTCTTAAACATAAGCTCTATGTATGGTGTTGCTCTAGAGTATAAATTAGTTCATCCGTTCGAGCATCTAAGGGTAAACAAGCCTTTGGACAACGACTCTATGATGTTGTATGAAGAATCTTTCCGGTCTGGGTTTTGGTTACCTTTATCCAAACCTTCAAAGTCATTCTTTAATGACTAAGAGATTGATATAAACTAACTTCATCCTAATGGGTTGCGATTTTTTGTGGGATAAGAGAACTGACTCGTCGTGATGGGAATACTCTTACAGTTTTAGGGGGTGCGAGAGGTGTACCACATGTTCGACTGAGTCAATGAAGATAACCGCTTTCTTTAGGTGAGAAATAACTGTAACGTTTTTAATAACCAGGCAAATATTTCTTTCTTGAAGAATTGAAGGCAGAAATATTTTATTATGAAGCATTCTGGTGGGTTCGGTGTGCCGAAACAATGGTCTAATGATCCTATGCGCAATCTTCCAGCAACACCTACACTTGAACATAAGTAGTGTGTGGCCCTTACCTTTGATGATCTCAATAAATGCTCAGGTAAAAAAATTTATGTTTCTGATGATGTCTTTGATTCTTCTGATGTGAAAGCAATGCTAAAAAAATAGAGGCAAATGATGGTCCAATTGCTGCAAACCATGAATGTTTTCATGGAGAAGGTCACTAAAAAGAAGCTTGACGCTGTGGACTCACCCGTCAATCAATCTCCTACTAGCAAGTCTTCTGCTAAGGAGGGAAATGAATCTTCATCCAAGTGTGCCAAAGAACTTGGGGGGCAACCACCTCGAAGTCCCTCGGGAGGCACTGACAGTGATTTTGCTCTTGCTGAAGAGAGGTATCAACAACCACATTGAAGAGAGGAGCCGCGGCACCACCCATCAAAGGCACCACTCTAGACAGGCCGCTCCACTGGCAGGCCTACAGTGACTCTTAACATTGTTTTTGGGACCACTAGTCCTGTGACTAACCTAGGTGTTTATGAGGCTGAGGCTTCTCATGCTCCTCAGTCGTTGACAGGCACAGAAGGAAGCCAAGGAACTAGAGGGGTTGCCTTCAATGGAACTCCCCAGAATACATACACAAGTGTCAATATGGTTCCTCAAACGACAGGTAATCCTGTTCCTCAGATTCCCCAGGTCACTATGGATGTTCTAAGGGACATTGTGCAGGAACTTTATGGGCCTGACCTCAGACAGGTTGGCCGCCAGGAGTTTGTGAAGCCGTATTTAAAAATAATTGACAGAGAGAACCCTTATCCAAGGGGGTACAAAATTCTAGATTTCACATTATTCTCTAGAGAAGAAGGACAATCGATCGTGGAGCATCTAGCCAGATTCACCATCCAATGTGGGGCACTTGCTAATCTGGAGAATTTGCTAACTATAAGTTGCGATTGTTTCCTAACTCCTTGACAGGTACAACTTTCACCTGGTATTTAACACTTTCGAGGAACTCAGTCAATTCATGGTATGAGATGGAGCGTCTCTTCCATACCCAGTTCTTCAGAGCTGAGCTAGAGGTTTGTGTGGCCGAGTTGTCCATGCTGACACAAAGAAGTGGACAGATGACTTACTCATTTATTGCAAGGTTTAAGAAGCTGAGGAACAGGTGTAAGGTGTTCTTACCCGAACGCAAGTTTGTCAAGATGGCTCAGAGAGGCTTGGACTTGAAGTTGAGGAAGAAATTACAAAGGATGGAGTTTGGAGATTTTTATGAGCTGGCGGCTAAGGTGGCAGTAGACTTGGCCACGGTTCCGGAACCGACGGTTCCGGTTCCAGAAAAACTGGAACCGAAACCGAACCGAAATGGTCCGGTTCCGGTTCCGGGAGTTTGGGAGATTTTGAATGGAGCTGGCAGCTAAGGTGGCAGGTAAGACTGGCCACGGATTTCCGGAACCGAACGTTCCGGTTCCCGAGTAAAACTGGAACCTGAACCGAACCGAATGGTCGTGTTCGGTTCTCGGTTCCGATGATTACAAAACTGACCGGTATTCAATTGGGTTTCCGGGAATCGCATGAATTTTTAGAATTTTTAATTTTGAAATGCCAGTTTAAAAAAAAAATTATTTGAACATCAAAAATAAAAAAATACAACTTAAAGAAATTTTAAAATTTGAAGGACGTTACAAAATAAAAATTATTTGAACATTAAAAAATTAAAAACCCAAATACACTAAAAAATTTTAAATTTTGAAGACCGGTTTAAAACAAAAAAATTACTTTGAACATAAATGTAAAGAAATACGACCTAAAAAATTAAAAAATACTTCAGTTAAATTTATTTTTTTAAAGACTTGAATTGTTGAGTGTTGAATAATTAATTTTTTATTGTTTTAAAATTGTTGAACTGAAATTTTTTTTTTTAAAAGTGTTGAACATAATTAAAAAAACAAAAGGGACTTTGAACTAATTTTTTATTTTTGTTTACAAAAAAAAATAAGTTGCCCACGTATCCTCTTGGGGTTTTAGAGACATCACAGCCCAAGTAGTTCTTTTTTTACTTACCTTATAATCAATTCTCACCCTTTTACCGTCATCGTATTTGCACCACCGGTTGAATTTCGCTGTTGGAAGACCCATGCGTTATTCAATCAATAACTCTTCATTTTCCCTTTGGATTTCTTGGGTCTTAGTTCGCCTTGGTCTCAATATCATACACACGGCATGTTTGTGCTTCTAGTGAAGTCGGGTGTTCATAACAATCGGTGTTTGTCCTATCAAGTATTTTTCCTTCCTTGACTAAATAGCTTATTCAACCGTTAACAGT